GTGTGCCTCTGGGCATGGTGTGGAGGTGGATGTACTAGAAATCTCTGAGACTCGCTCTGGCACTTATGGTGATTCTCATCCTCCGGCCCTCCTTCCTTCTTCAAGGATGACTACTACTGTTCAGGCTTCATTAGACATTGAGATCGATCAGGTGCCCTCTGTACAGCCAAGTGACTTTGTTGATGCTAGGAGCCCTTCAGTTGCTCCGGCTTTGCATAGTGATTCTCCTTCTGGTAATCTTTCTTTTTGAAGTTTGTCATGTACTTCCATCCGTGAGAAATCTTTACTCAAATGGCGTTATTGTTCCCCGCCCCTAATAAGACTTCTTTATTTTTTCTTTAGTGTTAGCTGCCACCGGGGTCCTGCCTTCACCTGCCTCGGACTCTGCTCCGACTCTCTTTGTGACTCCTCCTGGTTCTCCTTCTCAAGGGGAGACACCTGCCTTTGAGATGACTACTAAAGGTTCTTCATCCCCAATTCCTTTAAATGTTTTGGATTTGAATCTCAGCGATTTCCACTTTGATAGTGATGCTTTTGGTCTTTCCTCTTATCGCTCTGCATTCTCGAGCTCGGGACCTCTACCGGAAGTTACCCCTCCGGGTGGTTCATCTAACCCGATAGACATTCGGGAGATTCCTGAGACTAGTAGCTTTTCAGCCCCAATTCCTCCTTCGGTTTCTAGCAAAGTATCATTTCTTCATTATTGGGTAGCTCCTGAGTTTGCTTCAGTTCTACAGCTTGCGCATTCGAGTTACCCGGAGACCTTTGCTTCATTTGCTTGCCAATGTCCACTCATTCAGACTGCTCTTCTCGAGTCTTTTGCCACTATCTTATATAGCTTGGACAGGCAACGGTTGTGTGAACTTAATGGGAAAGTAGTCGAGACAGCGTATCAGGAGATCTCTGACATGGAGCATCACCAAGTGGATTTATCATGGCTTCGGAAGCGCCTGGATGTAGCTTCAAACGCCAGTCATCGGGAGGAAATTTTGTCTGTGCTTGCCTCTTATCGGACCTCTATAGATGAGACAAAAGCAACTCTTCGTGAACTTGAGTCAGGCTATGCTCGGGCCTTGGAGACTTTAGAGGCACACTCTGCTATTTGTCCTCCGGATGTAGATGTGACGGGCAGCTTCTTCGAGGGTGTTTTTAGAAGAGATTGAGTTTTTTTTTTTTTTATATCATTACTTTCTTGCCCCTTTTGATAGAAATGTTTTATCTAGAACAATGCAATGAAATGACAAAATCTTTGCTGTTTGGATATTTTCGCATTGTTTTCTCATTCTACTTGATAAAATATTTATTTTGAATGATACAATAGAAAGAATAATCACATACACACGTTTATAAAAGCTGAAATATTCTCATTAATTTTTTAACTTTCTTGACAAAAGTATGATATATTCACTGCAAGCGATGGGATAAATATACTCCATAAAGAAAACCAGCTTCTTCATAACATAAGGGAAATACAACTTTTTGGACAAAGTAAGAAAGTGAAAATGAATTTCAACGTAGATGAGTCTAACTACGGGTAGTAACGCTTGATAAACTTTGCATTGAGCGGGCCAGTTCGGAAGCCATCTTCAACCCTTACAAGCTTGTAGTACCCGCTTGAGCTCGCCGGAACCACCCTGTAGGGCGCTTCCCATTTTGGAGAAAACTTGGGCAAGGGTTGTCCTTGCATGATTGGGTCGACAATCTTCCATACTAGATCACATTCTTCAAACTTTCTTGGTACCACAGTCTGGTTATAGGCTCGGGCGATGGACTCATGATACCTTTCCATGACTTTTGCAGCTCTGTCATGCTTTTCCTCTAATGCTTCCAGTCTGGTGGTTCGAGGCTCCAATACCATCCCCGAGGCGAGGGCCATTCGAGAAGATGGTGTTTCCAACTCTATAGGTAACACTACCTCGGACCCATACACAAGGGAGTAAGGAGTTGCTTGAGTTGGCTTTCTCTTTGAAGTGCGATACGCCCATAGGGCTACTATCAACTGTTCGGACCAAGTCCCCCCAAACTCATCCATCATCTTGCTCAAAATCCTTATCAGCGTCTTGTTTGTGGCCTCCGCTTGCCCGTTCCCTTTTGGATAGTAGGGTGTGGATTTGTGATGCTTCACTTGGTAAGTCTCTAGGAGGCTCTTCACATATTTGTTTACGAAGGGAGTGCCATTGTCCGAGAGGATGGTGTTTGGTACTCCAAACCGGAAAATGATGTTTTCCTTGATGAAGTTCGCGACCGTGGGCCCCGTAGCATTTTTCAGAGGGATTGCTTCGACCCACTTCATGCTTAATTATATAGCTGCGAGAATCCACTTGTACCCCTTAGAAGGTAAGGAAATAGGCCCTATCAGATGAAAAGCCCAGGTATGGAACGGACATGGCGTTCGGATGGCATGCAGGTCTATAACTGGAGCATGGATCAAATTTTTGTGTTTCTGACAAGTTTGGCACCTCTTCACATGATGGGACGCATCTGACTCCATGGTCGGCCAGTAATACCCAAGGTGTATAAGTTGCTTGAACAGCCAAGCCCCTCCTTGATGTTCAATCTCGTGGGCTCTTCCGAGGACTAGATCTGACTCCTCCTTGGAGAGACACCTCAGGGGAGTGCCCTCAATACTTCTTCTATAAAGCTTGTCCTGATCAAGAAAGTATCGCCTTGCTCTCCTCTTGAGGTGTGCAATGTCCCTCGGGCTCTCAGGTAGTGTTCCCTCTTTGAGATAGTCAATGTAGACTTGTCTCCAATCAGGGGTATCAATTTCAAAGCAACTCTCATCCTCCCGGATGTATGACTGACACTTGGGGCATTCTTTCTGTAGTTGATTCGAGGCCTTCTCCATGTCGGGCCAATAATAACCTTGTCTTTGGATCCTTTTGTACAGACTGATATCTCCATCCCCGCAGGACTTTTCATGGATCTGTTGTAGTCGGAAGCTTGCTTCTTTTTGGCCAACACACTGGGCTAGGAATCCGGTACCTCCTCGGAAGTAAAGTTCACCTTGAATTATTATGAATTGGGCAAGCTTGGCCATAGTCAGTCTTCCAACTTTGCTTCTAAGTTGTTCGAGGACTTCTCCTCTCCAGTCCTCCGGAAAGTCTTTGTCCTCGGGTATTATTGAAGGTTCTGTACTCTTCTTGATAACAATGGTCGCCTCTTCCTCTGGAATGTCAACTCTTGCCCCTAATGTTGCGAGGGCATCTGTAAACTTGTTGTCGGAGCGAGGCACATGCTATATTTCGACCTTCTAAAATTTGTCAAGAAGCCTTTGGACTGCTGTTCGATATGTGGCCAAGGTAGGCTCCTTTAAGACAAACTGTCCTGAAACTTGCTTCACTATCAGCTTTGAGTCCCCCCGAATCCGAATCTTCTTGATACTGTGCTTTTGAGCTGCTATCAATCCTAAAATAAGAGCCTCATACTCGACTTCATTATTCGAACAATGGAAATCCAGTTTATAAGACAAATATAACTTTTCCCCACTTTTTCTTGTAAGGACTATCCCGGTTCCTCCTTTACCTTCGGCTGCTGCTCCGTCAAAGCTCAATGTCCAAAAGCTTTCCTCAGAAGTCATAGCTGCATGCACCTCTCCTCTTAATTCTTCATTCACTGGTTCATAGTCACCATTTGGAAATTGGGCAACGAGATCGGCTAAGGCTTCGCTTTTGATTGCCTTGGGAGCTACACATGTGATCTCAAATTCACCCAGTGCTAACAACCATCTTGCCACCTTCCAGGTTAGAGCAGGCTTGCTGAGGAGGTATCATATTGGATCACTTCTAGTAACAATCTGAATCTGATGTGCTAAGAAGTAATGTCTGAACTTTTGGTCAGTGACTACCAAAGCTAAGCAATGTCTCTCTATCGGAGTATATCGGACTTCTGCTCCTCGAATCTTCCGGCTGATGTAATACACCGGGCGTTCTGCTCCGTCTACTTCTTGGACCAATAATTCCCTTATGGACTTGGGGGTTGAGGTTAGGAACAACATTAGAGGGACCCCGGGCTGCTAGGCTATCATGGTCTGAGGCGCGGTTAAGGCCGCCTTGATTCTCTCGAAGGCCTTTTGGTGCTCTTGGTTCCACTCGAACTTGGTATCTCCTTTTAATAATGAGCCGAAAGGGGCAGAGATCTCTGCAAGTGTTGGGATAAACTTCCGAATATAAGACACCTTCCCGAGGAACTTCTTTAACTCCTTCTGAGAATGTGGGGGAGACATTGCTTTGATAGACTTGACCTTGTCTTTATCTGCCTCGATACCATGCCTGTGTACAAGAAACTCGAGGAACTTCCCGGCCGTCACCCCGAAAGCACATTTGAGAGGATTCATCATCATTTTGAATTTCTGGCACCTCTTGAATACCTTTTCAAGGTCTTGGAGATGGTCTTCTTCTTTCTTGGATTTCACCACTAGATCATCAACATAATCTTCCACCTCATGATGGATCATGTCATGAAAGATTGCAGTCATAGCCCTTTGGTAAGTTGCTCCGGCATTCTTGAGTCCGAAAGGCATGACTGTATAGAAGAAGTTTCTGAGAGGTGTTCTAAAAGCAGTCTTTTTTGCGTCCTCTTCAGCCATCTTAATCTGATTGTATCCGCTGAATCCATCCATGAATGAGAACATATGGTGTTCCGAGGTGGCATCCACAAGCGTATCGGTGTGAGGTAGAGGGAATTCATCCTTCGGGCAAGATTTGTTCAAATCTCGAAAGTCTACACATACTCTGATTTGACCATTCTTCTTCTTTACTGGCACAATGTTTGCCAACCACGTGGGGTACTGTATTGGCCGGATGAAACCTGCTTGTTGAAGTTTTTCAATCTCCTCCTTAATCTTCTCTTCGAGATCCAGATGATCTTTTCGAGCAACTTGCTTAATTGGCTTGGAGTTTGGTAACATATCAAGATAATGGGATACTAGGTCAGGATCTAGTCCAGGCATTTCCTTATATGACCAAGCAAACACATCTTATAATATTCCCAACTTTTCATCTAGAGCCAAACACACTCCTATGTTAAACTCCATTTAGGATATCTAAACCCAACTCCAAACTTGATGGTAGGTGTAACCAAACACCCCATTTCAACACAAAAAAAAAAATTAGAAGTGCAGATTTTTTTTCTTCATTCTTCATTCTCTAACTTCTCTCTACTTTCTCTCTCATTTTCCTTTACTTTCTTGGAGGCCAAACACCACACCTTTGCTCCACCCTTACACCACCACCTTGACACACCATCTCCACCACCTCCGGCCACCTTATCTCGCCGGAAAATGGGTCCGGTCGGCACTCCTTGAATCCATCCGAAAATAACACAATAGAAGCACAAACTCTAGATTTTTCTTAATCTTTTGAAGAATCAAAGCATGGGATTTATTTTCTTGATGGATTAGAGGCTTGTACTTGGTAAGAATCTTTCTCTAAAAGTTTAGTTGAAGGTTTTACATATTTTGAGTTAGAGATGATGAAATTTTTGTGTTTTAGATCTATTATGATTTGGGGTTTGCTTGTTGAATTTTATACTCTCAATTAGTTTCCATGAATGTTTTACATGTTTAAAAAAAAAATGGTCAATTTGATGGTTGATTTGGAGATTTAGATTTTTGGGTTAATCTAGGGTTGAATTTTATAAGTGATTGAAGAGATTTTACTTAAGTTGTTGAGTTTATACAAAAATGTTGATTTTTGACTTTTGTAGTAAATTGATGGTGGTATTGTGCATATAAATTGATTGGATATTTAAAAAGTTACTAACTCAAAGATGTTCAAAGGATGGGTGTTATGGAGATTGGATAAGTTATTTGTTTGGGTGATTTAAAGTTGGAGGAGTTCTTTAGCTTGCCATTCCTTAGCATAATTTTATTTAGGATCATTTTTGTAGATGTTGTAATTTTCATTGAAAGCTTTTCCTAATTTGAGATCCTATTTACTAATTGTTAGGATTGGAGGAAGGCATCTCTCCACCTCTTGGAAATTAATTTGTAGAGTTTCAAATCTACACTTTTGCTATTTTTGGAGGTGAGTATACTTACCATGGAAATTACCTTACCTCTATCTTTATTACAAAGTTTGAAAATAATTTTTGAATTAAAGGAAGTGAATGATACATTTCATCATGATATATGTATAAAAAGAAAATCTATAAATTTATTGAGGCCAAGGGTTGAGTTTTAATAAAGATATGATTTCATTTGTATAATGAAGCATTAATTTTTTTATGAGAATTTATTTAAGTTGAGTCTTTCAAATTTTATGATGATGATGATTGAATGACAGTGAAATGTTATGTGAGGGTATTTATTTTATTGATCATATAACCGAATATAGCCTTTGGGGCCACAAGGGCCAAAATGCTTTGGGGTCCTGGGGACCGAAATGTTTTAAGGACCATAAGGGTCGTTGTATGTATAAGGGGTCCTGGGGACCGAAACATTGAAACAAGAATTGAAGTGCTACGATGACATGAGCTATGTTCCTATGGTTATGTTTTGGGTAACGGTACCGTCACCACCTAAGTCGCGAGGTAACGCGACCCTAAGGCTATGTAGTGGATTGTATGATGGACATGAAATCTTAATGTATTGAAAAGTTATATTTTTGTTTACTTTCATTATCCAAATGTATGTTTTTTTTTCTGCCTTATGAGATTCCTTGGAAAAATCTTTATAACGTTTTATGAAAATTGTATTTCATCATTTTTATTTTTATTTTGTATAAATTTAAGTCCAATTAAGCTCTTATGTTTAGTATCTTTATTTTGAACCCTATTGGTAGGAGCAAGTTTTATAACTCCATGGTATTGGTATACTCATTGGGCTTTAGCTCATTCTTTTAAATAATTTTTTTTCAGATTCATAGACTTTTGTGTGGCTCGCCTCAACTTGGAAGACTAGAATTTTTTTTTTGAAGGATCACAGGTGGGCATCTTGTGGTTGAGGTTTTGCTTAGGGTCATTCTAGGATGTAAGCTTACCCTTTTTTTTTATGAAGGAGGTTGATTGTAAAAATTGCTTATGAAGTTGGATGTATTGATGGATTCGTGATTAGTATGTATTATATTTTTTTTGGGAGGAAATGCTTGGGAACTATCTTGTAGCATGATAATATTTTTTTGTCTTTGAATAGATCATCTCATATATGTTAGGCAATTGAAAGGTCTTATGCACTTTTGGTGATGTGGTGATGTGATGTAAGAATTATACAGGAATTTGTGGTGTAAAGGTGCTATAGCGTTTGAGGTGCACCCTCTTGGCAGGGTTTTGCCTTGCCAAGATTGGGTCGTTACACATCTGAATACCGGCTTATCAACTTTAACAACTGTTCCCGCTTCTCTGGGCTAAGGCTCAAACTTATGAATATCGGCCTTGGAGCATCTTGTCCATCACTCAGATCTATTTCAACAAATTGTTCGGGCTGAGGCTGAGGCCCATCTTGCATGCATTCTGGAGCCACTTCAGGATTTATCACTATGTCATTGTCAGGAGGCTCTTCTTTTGACTCGGAGTTGGTGACTGAAGAAACTGACTCCCCGCACCTTCATAAATAGTACACCATCTTGCCCCCTTCTCAGACTTTCATAACCTTCCGAAGAATAGGCAGACTTTCTGGTCAAGAGATCGCCCGTTTACTTGATTCTGCCCTTGGCTCCTTGTCATCTTTGATATCCTCCCAATGAGGAATTTTGACCCCCCGAGGCTTAGAGGTGATGGGAACTTCTTCGACAGCCAGTTCGGTGAAGTAGATGACATCAGAATAATGAGCTTTATGGATCTCGAAAGGCCTTTCTGTAGCTTGAATTGTCACCGTCTTCTTTCCTCATTTAGCCTTAACACACTGATGATAACTTAACGATACCACCCCATATCTATGCATCCAGGTCCTCCCTAGAATGATGTGATAATTTGCCTCGGAGTCGATAATATGGAACTTAGTGGCTGAGCGAATCTCTCCGACGGCTAAATCAACTGTTACACATCCTATAGTAACTCTCCTTTCTCCACTGAAGCCAGTGATGACTATCGATTGTTTCACAATGCGCTCTTCAGGGATTCCAGCCTTTTCTAGAGTAGCGCGAGTCATAATGTTGATAGAGGCTCCACTGTCCAGAAAGGCCCTTTTGAACTCAACCCTGTTAATAAAAGCAGTCACGTAAAGCGGGCGGTTGTGAGAAAAGGGATACGTTCGATCAGTCTCGGAGAAAGTAATGGCACTAGATTGTTCTTTTGCCTTCTTCAGAATCGATCCCTCGGTCGACATGCATTCCTTATGGTGTGCCTCAGCTATATTGATGATAGACTTGGTGATTTCTGTTCTTGCCTCCCTGGAAAGTCCAAGCTGGTCGAAGAATTGCTTGAACTTTACACAGTCTTGCAAGGTTTTGGCATAGTGATCCGGATCTTTTTCCACTCTTAGAGGCTCGTAGTTAACCATCTCCTCGGTCTCTTCAAAATAAGATACCACATAAACATGGTGTCCTCCTCTTCCGTAGTACTCTTCTCCTTCTTTTGGATCAAATGGATCGTCGACATGAGTTTTGAAGGTCCTGCCCTCTGGATCGAGAGCACTTCCATAGTAAACTTGCTCACCCTTGGGCTCGCGGATGTCGTCCAGATAATAATCATCGTCATCGAGATTGGCGATAGCCTCAATCATCGGGCCTTCATAAGCTATCATAACAACATTCTTGCCCTTGTCTCGGTGCTGAGGATGTTCTCAGATATCTTGAGTCTCTTGCTTTTTGAACCTCGATTCGTCTGCCTCGACTTTATCTCTGAAGATTTTCCTGAGAGTCCAACACTTCTCTGTCAGATGTTTCAATGTACGATGGTAGACACAAAATTCAAGGCTCTCACAGTCCTTTTTTGATGGCATTTCTTCGACATAAGGCAATTTTAGCTCTCCGTCGGCCACCTATTCCTTAACTAGAGCTTTTACTTCCTCGATTCCACATGGATAAGAAACATTCCCCTTTTCACCATTATATTGCTTTCTCTTCTGGCCTCTATGACCTCCTCCTTGTGACTTTCGGGTATCTGGGGCAGAGACAGCAGCAACAATAGGTCCACGAGGCGATTTGAAGCCAGTCTTGTAACTGGCCTTAAATCCGAACTCCTGAGCCTAAGGAATGCTAATGTTCTAAGCTGCTTCTATTAATACCGAGAAGGTGGGTAGCTTGTGATTAACTAGAAACATTTTGTACCTGCTCAATGCCCCTTCTAGACAGATTTGAACCAGATAACTCTCCTCCACTGCTTCATGGCAATCCACGGCCTTGTCCTGATACCTTTTGACGTAGTCAAGGATGTCTTCACTTTCCTGCTGCTTTTCTTTACACAACGTAAGTGTGGTCACCTTCTCCACCACTTGAAAGAACTTAGAGTGGAATTTGTTAACCATTTCCTCCCAACTTCAGACATAGTTTGGGGCCAAATTAACATACCAACTATATGCTCGGTCGGTGAGGGACTTAGAGAATTCTCTCAGCCGGAGGACGTGGTTTGAACCATGAATACCTAGAGTCTCAATGAATCGCACAACATGTTCTCGAGCATTTCCTTGTTTGCCATCGAACTTGATGAACTTTGGCACTGTATACCCCTCAAGGTATGGATAGCTCAGCATCTCAGTGGGGTAAGGCAGCTTGACGTCCGGATCAGGCAAAGAAGGTAAGGTCCTCTTGCCCCGTTCGAGGTCGAACATGGCTTGCACATCGGCGAGAGTGAGAAACTGTTGAGGGAGAGAGTTTGATGGTGGTATTCTCGGAACTTGGCTTATGGACCCGAAGACTGAGCTAGGGGCCACTTAGCCATTATGGTGCTAGAAATTCATCATTGGTGAGGACATTTGACGATACTGGCCATTAGCGCCTATAGATAAGCCAGTTGGTGATGGGACATTGAATTGAGGCCCGTAAAGTCCACTGCATGGCGCCGCTATACCGGGTTGTGCTTGCAAATTTGTTGTCGGCACCAAAGGAGGGCCGCTTGGTGCTTGCGTAACATTTACTAGTGTCATAACAAGATTAGGTACGGGCAGAGCTCCCTTTTGCGCCATCATGCCCCTCATGTTTTCCTGGACACCAATAGTTTCCAGAGCGTCATTCATTACACCAGAACCTCCCCTAGTCACCATTGGATCATGGCTTGGCACGCCATGGAGCCTGGGCATGGGCAAACTGCTGCCGCCTACTATGGTTTGAGCATGTGTTACTACCGCTGTGTTTCCATGAGCCATAGGTTGACTGGGGCCTACTTCTCCTTGGATTTGATTTTGCACTTCGATGGGAATAGCTCCACCACCAGTTTGATTTCCGTTTGGCGCTGGTGCAAAATTAGAAGTCATCACCAACATGGTGTGAGTGAGATTCTGAAGAGTGGTAAGAATCTCCTACTGAGTATTTTGAAGTCCTTGAATGGCTTCAAGCAAAAGTGGTTGATCTGGAGCCATGGTCCTGCCATCACCACCATTAGAGGATCCTTGTTGGTGAACTTCATCTTCTCCCGCCATCCTTGTTGGAGTTGTGTGGATTCTAGATCTCGTTGAGACCATTAACCAATCCGTCTCCCTAGTGAAGTCGCCAAATGTATGAAAGGGTTTAAGAACGTCGTTGGAAAATTCAAAGATCTTCGAAGATCCTTGAAGAACAACTACGAATTCTCTAGAAGATGATGAGAAGCTTAGATTCTTCAATAGTCTCAACTCAAGAACACAAGAGTAAAGGAGATGATGGAGATAAGAGATTGGGTGAAGAAGAAGGCAAAATGGCTAGAGAGAGAATAATGGCAAGGCTCTCTTATGGATCTCCCACTTTCACTCTCAAGGTTAATAATGGAGAAGGGAAATTAGTTCTTTCCCAAGAGTTAATTCTCCAAAATCCATCCCTTGTAAAGTTATGGGTGGGTGCTATTTATAGGCACCTCATGATGTAGGATAGAGCCCATGTGCAAGGCACATGAGGAATATTCTCTCTAACCACCTTGTCCGAGGAGGTGACCTCTCCGAGGATGAGGAAAATCCCGAAGAGGAGATCAACCCCTCGGCGAACCCTTCTTCTTAGCCACACCTAACCAATGATCCCCAATCATTCCAAAAGGCCGAGGTAGTCCTAGAGGACCCCCCCCGGTCGCTAAATATTGCCGAGTCTCATGGACCCCCCGGAGTCGTGCCACCTCGACCCGGATATAGGCTAGTTTAACCGAAGAGTCAATTTATCTCCACTCACCGTCCTCGGGATCGGTCCTTTGTTCAAACTCCATTACGCCAATGGTTCTGGTGCGTAGATCCCGGAAAGCTCCGAGCCCATAAGTGTTTTGGGACTCATTAAAGGAGCGGCTTCTATATTGTGTTTGAATCCGTTTGAAGCCAAGTGCTTCGGATCTCTAGGTTCGTGGATCCAAACCCTTTCGAGTCCGAGCCCGAGTAAGTCTCTAAGTTCGTGGATCCGAACCCTTTCGAGGCCTAGAGCGATTCGGCCCGTTTTGATGGTGATTAATCTAGGCCCACCAATCTTGGACTTGCAATAAATTCAGGCCCACTAATTTTGGGCTATTGGGCTAATTAATTAATTTTATTTTTTTGGACTCAGTTTAGCTCCTCTTACACTTTCAAAAAAATTATATTGAAATATATTATCGATTAAACAATGAATGACTTAATGATTAATATATTTTATTTTTAATAAATTAAAAAACTTGAGGAAAAATATGTCAACGCTTTCAAAGCCAAATATCTCACAACCCACCCACCCTCTGCCAAAAAAAATAAATAAATAAACAGAATGATTGGAGACATTTGGATCAATCCAAGTGAAGAATAAAAGAAGTAACTTCAACACTTTCCTCTAAAAGAGGATCATAGTGCTCTCTCAAAAGTTTTTTAATTTATTATATTTAATTTTCTTACTACTAAAAAATCATTTCTATCACCACACTAATATTGTCAAATCACCAAGTTATTTGCATGGTATGATATGACGGACGTTAAATGGTAAATGCTTAAGATTAAAATTTAAGCTCTTGAGTTTAAGTCATTTTAAAACTTTACTAAAAATTTGTTCAGTTATTAATTTTAATATTTTGAAATTAGTCGCAATATACACAAGTTAGCCCAGATACCCACTTACCAAAAATAAAATAAAATGATCGACCACCATTACTCATGGGTCATATTTAGGACCTGTTTGTTTGGCCACTTCAACGGTTGGACTGGAGTAGGATTGTTGCGGGTCCCACTCACAGCATGTTTGATGTTATTTGGGAAGGTCGACTTCATAGTCTAGGCGGCTTAGTAATTCCTCT